TATATATATATATATATATATATATATATATACTGTTTGACTGTGTTAGTATCCGAATTAAATGAACTATTAAGGACTATAACATTTTTTCTTTTTTCTTGAAGTCCACATCTCGTAGTTAAAGAAACACCAATCAACAACAATAACATTCATTGTCTATTCTATTTGTAATAACGCTTGAATGACTTGAAAGCGCAATAAAGAATGTGCTATGCAAATCTCTGGATGTGTATTTATGCGATTGTATGTTTTTGTGAAAGTGCGGGGGAGGTTATTGTGAAGAGATTACATTTGCAAGCATTGAAGACTTAATTGAGGAAAAAGATAGAAATACAAAGTAAGTCATTAACAGTAACTTTTCTTAATGAATTCAAGTCACATACACTCTTATACAAACACCATACACACAAAACAGTCATGTTTTATTTCTATTATACATGATTACACATTCAATTATACAGTATTTTCTATATGTCTATATATACAGAGAGGAAGGAAAGGGAAATGTTTCCGTCAATACCTGCATGTGTGTTAGGAACACGGCTCCAGCTGTTTGCCTCCCTCCTCTTGGACAGAAATGGAATTTACCAGTCAGTCTCATCCTCCACAAAAGCAGAGGGCTAATCAGCTTCCGCTCTCATCCGAGCTGAATCAGGACTCCATGGGAATCCCATGCTAGCTCTCCAAAAGCAGTCCTCATCCCTCCATCTTTCCACCACTCCACACTGCTTGTTGTCCCTCTGTAAAGCAGCTTCATCAGCCTCTGTAGATTTTCAAGCTCTTCCTTCATTCTTCTGTATTTTCTTTGTGTTTAAACATGGTGAAGATTGCAATTTTGTTTCTTTCAAGCTGATTAGTGAGAAACTTTGCATTTGTGGTTCATAGTAGTTTTAAAGTATGCATAAGCATTTAAAGATGATGACATTTAGGGATTTACCTTCTGAGACTTAAAGGAGAACAGTGAGACAAAACCGCATACTGTAAAAATGGATTCTTGAAGCACCATGAAAGAATCCTCTGGAGAACATCGAAGCATGCTTTTGAAGTTGTCTCAAATATAAAGTAACTGCAGTTTATATTTCAAGTACCTCAAAGTCTCTCTCTTATAATGGAGTTACTGGAGAAATTGTTGACATTTTAATACTTTCGTTCCATTTTGTAGAATTGTTCTTTATGAAAAGGTTCTCTAACGTGTTCTGTCAGTATGGCAATCTGAGGAACACTTTAAGGAGGTTATTGCATTACTGCATTTATTTGATTAAAAATACAGTAGCATTGAGAAATATTATTACATTTTAAAATAACTGTTTTAGTTATTTTACTTTGAGTAGAAGAATATTACCCAGCCTAAAATGTAGACAGAAATTAAGGAGTGGCAGCTTTCAGTTAATTTACTACTTGAGAACATGTTGAGGTACTATGAAGGGGGAAAAGTTTTTAAAGAATGTCTTGTTTCTGTTAGGTAGTTTTTTTTCCATCATCTCCATGAAGCAGTTATGGTCTTGTAGTTATAGGGATAGTTCACCCAAAAATTCTTCGAAATTCTTCATTTACTCACCCTCCACTGGTTCCAAACCTGTATGAGTTTCTTCTTCTGTTGAACACAAAAGAAGATATTTTAAAGAATGTTGGTAACCAAACAGTTGACAGTAGCCATTGACTTGCACAGTATTTTTATTTGTTATTTTTTCCATACTGTGACCTTCAATTCTGTGTTTAACAATCTGACATTTTGTAGACCAGCATGTTTTGGTGGTCATGCCTTCATAAATCAGGGACAAATGTTATGGGCTTCTATTAGACATTAGCTTATTTGAATGGCAGCTACTTGGCCCATTCTAACCGGCCAAACCTTGACAAATCCTGGATCTCATTGTTTGCCTATGTGGATTCATGTGTAAAATGAAACATGAATCAGAGTGACTCATCTGTGTGATATTATCAGAACATCAAGCTGGTTTGAATTCATGCCTCCAGCCAAGATGCTGCAGAGCTTATATTGCATTCTGTTGTATTACAGTCACTTTCACAATCACAGCCATTATTCAAATCTCACAACAAGAATGCATGGCTTGATGTGCACCACAGGCCCTCAATCAAGATTTGTTTTGCTTCAACATTCAGCATGCTTGCTACTGAAGAGTCTAATCGAGTTACACAGAATTTTGCAACATGTCAGACAGGCCCTTATCAAAAATTTTTTGAGAAACTGTTTTCATGTTGTTCTCCTCACCAAAGCTAAAATTTGGTCAAATTAGAGTAATATGTGAAAGGCAGAGGCATTGGAATAAGTTTCCTGCCTCGTTGAAAGACATTTGCAGTTATTGCTTCATATTGACCAAACAATTACATAACTTGAATACTGTGCAAACGTAAATATATTTCAAAGAACTTGATAATGTTCGACCATCTTAAAGTTGAAACGGCTCACTGAAGCATATTTAAATATTTTAAAGTCTACTATATTTAGACATTAATACCAAAATTAACGTGCTGTGATGCAAGGTAGTGAACATAAGGCATATGACACATAATACCATTTGGGAACAGAACTGAAAGAAAACCAAAGAAGTTTTACAAACTACAGATTCACTTTAACAAGCCAGCTAGCGAGTATGATATTCCCACAGCATGCATGCATAGACGAGCCAAATCAACCACGACTCCTAGGCAACAAATGACAAGAGAATGAAATGAAATGATGCAAGCAATCTTCAGTATCTGATCCTCCCTATAGGCATATTGTCTACTTGGAGAATTGAATTCTCGACACAGTGCAATACTCACTCTTAGATTGCAGTATTATCAAAGACAAGGTGTATAATGCATGCAAACTGTCAGGGAAGGCATGCAGGTTGTTTACACACTTGGTTCAAGTGCTCAGTCCGTACCCAAGTTCCCCTTCCCGCTGCCCCTACTGGAAAACTGTTGTGCTGCTTTATATTTTTCTTAATATTTGTATTTGCTTAATATATCTGCTTAATATTTTTTGTGGAAACTGTGTAACTTTTTTTTTTTCATTAGTCTTTGATGAATAGAAAGTTAAAAAGAGCAGCATTTATGTGAAATAGAAATATTTTGTAATGTTATAAATGGTTTTACTGTCACTTTTGGTCAGTTTCATTCATCATTGCTGAATAAAAGTATTAGTTTCTTATAGAAGAAGAAGAAAATCTTACCCCAAACTTTTGAATGGTACTGTAAGTGTATAATATATTATTGGTCATGCTAATTTTTTATGCTTTTAATGTTTAGTTTATCTCTGCTGTCTTCTAGTTCTCACTAAAAAATAATCTTTATTAACACTAATTTGTTACAACTGGTAATCTTTAGTAAAAATCTCCAAATAAATATCAATTTTTCATCTTGTGGTTTATAATGTGATGCCATCATTTACTTTTAGCATTTAAAGGGGACATCGGATGCCCATTTTCCACAAGTTGGTATGATTCTTTAGGGTCTTCATGAACTGTCTGCAACATACTTTGTTTAAAATTCCTCAGTGGTCGTGTAAAACAACACTCTTTTTACCTTGTCAAAAACAGCTATGTTCACAGCGATCCGTTTCGGTGCATGTCTCTTTAAATGAGAACCCCGCCCCTCTCCTCCATGGAAGAGGAAAGGCGATTTGCAAATAATCATAAGAAATATAAAGTGTGGGACTTACTTCTTCTGGAGGTGCAGCTGAATCACGAACAGTGGGTATTGATCCATTCTTGAGTTTTAACTTTTTAGCAAAACCTGCCTTGAATTGTCCCTCATTCAGAAAGCAGTCTGTAAAATGATTTAAACACATTTAGGTAGATCGGGGGGTGCATTCCCTTCAAAAACAAAAGTAATCCACTGCGTCTTCAGCGTCTCAGATGTCGGGAGTAAATGAGACTGCTTTGTTCATTCTTACATCCAACAACAAAACACCTCAATCGCTTAGGAGCCATTCTTGCCTACACCTGCTGTGGTGTCGAAACAATGGCGGACTGTTTACAGCTCACTCAGGGCGGGTCTAAGCTAAAACGGCAGTGTCCGTCAACAGTCGTCACTTTGCCCAGATTCTGTCTTGTTCTTGTTCTGGCTTGTTCTGAGAAAGTGCTTATGATTTGTGGGGATTTAAAAAAAAGCACTGGGTGGATTTTTATCATTATAGGATGGTTGTGTACACACACTGCCAAGACACATTTAAGTTCAAACACCATGTAAAAGTGAATTTTGCATCCGATGTCCCTTTAAAATTCTTGATTTTTATTTATACAAAATTGTATAGAATAATAATATCGCCCATTTGTAAGTTATCATTCATTAAATTCAAATAATTACTGGCCTATAGGTATCAGTCAGAAATGTTATATTGATGCATCCGTAATGCATATTAAGGGATTCATTCCTGAGAGACAAGTATAGCACGTTCTTTTTTTTTTTTTGATGAGAAACCAATGTTTAGAGTTTAATTAGAACTAAACTAATTTCAATATAACTCAGTGGTTTAAATTGTTCCCATGATGCTTATCTTTGGAATTGTGGGCTTAGCTTTGGGGGAAAAATAAACATTTTTGTAAGATTAACCTGGTTTACTGTACATCAGATGTCCCTGGTGATAAAGCTACAGGCCCGGCGCCAGAGGGGCTTGCCCCCCCCCCCCGGACATCCCTGTGCCCCCCCTTTGTACCGAGGGGGACAGTTGGACTTGAGTTTAGCGTGCACAATAGTCTTACTCATACAACTGCCTGCTGTTGCTTCTGATTGCTTTTAGATGGAAAAGCTGCCCATAACCCCTGGTCTAGGATCTGTTTTTTTCCTAATAATAGCATAACGAAATAGATTTGGCAAACAATCCAGTGTATCTGCCCTTCTGCTTTGGAAACCATCAAATGAGTTTACAATGCATTTTCGCAGAGGTGAGCAGTGTAGCCAATCACAGACATGTTTGTTGATTTCTAAAACACAATGGCCAATCAGAGGTGTTTTTTGTCCAGTGCTGATTTCTATCATGCTCGTAACTTCTTTCTAACAAAGACATTTAAAAAAGTTTATTCGTGTAGTCACGTTCATTGTTTTTTTGTTATTTTGGAACTTTGTGAGATCGTGATGAATGCGTGACAGTTTTTAATAAATTTAAAGGGAGCACTCTCTGCATGCTGTTTACGATAATATATTCAGAATTTAAATAAAACGTGTACAGAAAAAGATAATAATTTCAGAAGCACAGATGTGATTCTGCAAACGAGCCTGGTCCAAACGTGGGATTTAGGTAAGGAAACGGTTAGGCTATTATTTGTATTGGCTGCCACGCCAAATCATGCACACCTGCTTGCTTTTCTGTTTAATTTATCAGTGTTTTTGTGAACATATATATGCTTTATTAACAAACAATTGTAACACTTTACAATAAGGTTCGATTAGTTAATTTTAGTTAATGTATTAAAGTGTATTAACATGTTAGTTAATTATTATAAAGTGTTACCTAAATAATGTATTTCGAGCGTTCACTTGAAAACATTACCCCCCGTGTCCTGGCGCCGGGCCTGTACAGTATGAGAGAGGAATTTGCCAGTGCCAAAAATTATTTAAGACTTTAAAAGATTCTCAAAAAAAAGTTATTTCGTGTGACACTTTCTTCTTTCTTACTCAGACAGGTGGAAACGAGTGCTTCATAGTTACTTTTGACATTCTTGGGGCACTTACACACTATAGAAAGCTCTGATGGAATATTTGACGGATGGAGAATGCTGGGTCAGTTTGAAATCTAGCGGGAATACAGAAAGCCAAACCTGTATGACTTTCTTTCTTTCATTCTTTCCTTGCTGAAACACAAAAGGGGAGATTCTAAAGAAATCAGTCTTTTCTATACCACGACTGGAGACCGGAAAGATGCACAAGCATTATAAAAGAATCATAAAAGTGGTCTCTATGACTCATGCATTATAATCTGAGTCTACTAAAGTCAGAATGTAAGTTGTTATTCTTGGAAAAAAAAGCTTGACATTAGCCCTAGCTTTTCCTCAGTGCGGTTTATGAAAGAGTTACTGTTGTTGATACAGTTCACAAAAAACAAACAAACAAGCAAACAAAAAAGTCTGAATAATTCAATCAAACTGATCTGATTCTCAAGTTAATTGACCTCAATGAGTTCAATCTGTTACCTCAATCTATCTATCTAGAATCTAAGCAATTACTAATAATACACATTAGCTTGTAGATATTTTGTTTCAATGCCTATTTTCCTTGACTCGTGTATTTCAGATTCTCTGCTTCCTCTTAAAAACGCTGGCCAACTAAAACGTTTCTCAGTCATTGAATGCGAAAACAGTGTGGTGAAACCGGAGACAAGCAGAGGGTGATACAGCGCTGTGGATGCGGAGCATGGTTTTCCTTGTGATCGAGATTTGAGCATCTGTAAGTCAGCATCTCTGCACACCACAGCCCCGTTTCACCACTAATGGCTGTTTCTGGGGAGCGCTGGGCCAACCTCACCCGCTTATCACATTCTGTCTACAACTGCAGAGCTCTTGGGAGTCATCGCCAGAGGAAGAGGAAGGAGAGTGGGAGGAATTGAAGGAAGAGCAGAGCCAGGTGAGAAGGGTCCATCTCGCTTCTTCCTCCTCGAGCTCTGACGGGCACTGTCAGGCTTTTTCATGAAGGTGAAGACAAGGAGAGAGCTCAGGGGCAGAGCTAGTATGTGTCAGTTAGAGCCCGGCTGACATGTAGCCTGGAGAACAAGAGCCAAGAGTGGTACACTTCCACGTTATAGTGGAAGTTTGTCTGTTCGATGAAAATGCGCAGTATTTATTGTAATATTATATTTGCTGTGATCAGTGCACGTGATGACTGTGTTTTGCTGATTGTGGAAGCAATTCTTCCTCTGACATGACCTAAATTAAGTAGTGGAACAGAAACTTCTAGTTCTTCCAGACTGAGAAAAGAGATAAAAACAGCGTGTCGGATGAACCAATGGAGAATATTTTCTTTTTGTGAACACTATAAATTTCTGCCAGAATAAAGTGTTCCTGTGGTAGAGCATTGCGTTAGCAGCGCAAAAGGTCATGGGTTCAATTCCCAGGGAACACACATACTGGTAAAAAATGTATAGCCTGAATGCACTGTAAGTCGCTTTGGATAAAAGCGTCTGCTAAATGCATAAATTATTAATTATTATTAATTATTATAAAACACTCTGAAACAAAGAGCCAAGAAAAAAAATAAAACAGAATTAGTTAAGCAAAAACAAACAATCAAAGGTTAAAAATCATAAATCTTCGCATTTCCACAACTTAACAGCTGTCAATGTGAATTAATTATGGACATAACTGCATGCTATAGCATACTAATTATTTGTGTATTTGTGATTTGTCCCTAATAGAGTTGTGCTAGTTATATAATGCCCACACATGGTCACCAGAGCCCTGCACAGCAGAGCTCTTAATTATTATTAAAATAATAATAATAATAATAATAATGATAATGATAGTAATTCTAATATATGTATAATAAATAATAAATATATATATATTATAATTATATTGTAATTATATTATAAATATAAATACAATACATTTTTATAGTAATATTCCCACACAGTTATTTTTATTTGTTTGCATGTAATTTAAGTTATTGTATCCTCAATAATAATAATAATTATCATAGTAAGAATCATAACATAAATAATTTTTATTATTATTAATGTCCTGCACATAATTAATGTGTATTTGTGTTTTACATTTAACCTAAATTGCTATATCATTCGTAATCATAATAATCATAATCATAATATAAACAAAATTAACAACAACAACAACAGCTATTATTATTATTGTAAATGTCCCACACATAGTTGCTAGCGTTTATTTTTGTTCTGGCATGTCACCTAGATTGCTGTACCCTGCATATGTCAGTGTAGAGTTTTCACTCTGTATAGATGCACTCAGTTTGGGTCATTTTCCCATCGCAGTTTCAACTTCAGTTTGACAATTTCCAGAAACCATACAGTGTCACCCTAAATCTTGAAGCCTTCTCTTTCTGCTCATGGATCAGTATACACTGCCAGCATCTTCTGGACAGTTGGGAAGCTGGAATCCCACCCGTTAATGATGTGTGCGTGGTATGTGTGTCTGCTGTGTCACAATCCAGTGGCCGCCACCTCCCCTCCTCTGTGGAGAATGTAGAATATTTCAGATGTTGTTTACCTGTCAATTTCTCTGAGCAGCTGCAGGTATATATTCACTCTAGTGAGGCTCTGTCAATAAGACAGCCTCCTATCTTAACCCCAGCAGGACTGCAGAGTGAAGGATTCAATTATTGATGAATATTTCATTTGTGAGGGCTCTTACTTGGGTCTAGGAACAGACTCTGTCCATTATGTGTGCGAGTACATGCGTGGGATTTTGAGGGAAGTATCTAGACATGCGATTCTGAGAGTAACTGGGTACAAAAGAAAGGCCTACTTCAATTATAACGACATTGTCGACTCAAAAAACAAAACAAAAAAATCTATCACCATTCATCCACATTCATGCCTGTATAATAATTTAAACATTCTTTTTTAAGACTTTTTTTGGGGGTTGCTCATTTTCAGGCTTCTTAGCTTCAAAAAGCATGCAAAAGCACCATTAAAGTATATTAGAAGTGCTTTATATGACTTGTGCGCTTTGATACGGTAACTTTTTGCGAAAATCAAGAAGGCTTATAGTACTTAAAGTGCACTCCATTCAAAAAAATATAGTGCTTGGGTCATATGCCCATTTTTATGATGCTTTAATGGTGCTTTGTGTCTCTGTTGAAACTTGAAATAATCAGTCTCCATTCATTGTACAGCAATTGCATGGAAAAGAGTGACCAGCACAATTTTCCAAAATAAACTCTCCTCCAAAATAAAATGTCCTCTCACGTTCAGCTGCATTTATTTCAGCAAATTTCTTAATGTGTAAATATTGGTATGAACATAAATAGATTCAACAAATGAGACATAAACTGAACAAGTTTCACTGGCATTTGACAGACAGAAATTGAATAGTGAGTCAGTATTCAGTATCGGTTGTGGCCACCAGCTGCTTTAAGTGCATCTCATCCTCATGGACTGCACCGGATTTGCCAGGTCTTGCTATGAGATGTTGCTGAAGTACAGAAGTAGTGTAGCGAAAGATCCAATAATGGTAAAAAATTAGATTGGTACTTTGGAGAATTCCAAAGAGAAGAGCATTCTCAGGGCAGAGCAATTTATTTACACAATACCGAGTACAGGACTAACAAAATTTCAACACATCTGTGTCCTTATTAACAATGCATAGACAGATTAGCCTTCATTCAAGTCATCTCTTCAAAATGATTGAAATCCGTACTTCTATTTTGTTTTATCAGGGCTGCTTTTGGATCTTGCAGTGAGTACAGTGTTTGTCTTGTACAGCCGAGCTCTGAGCTTGCCAAGGCTCATACTGGCTGAAATCTGTTCTCCGACTGAGCTTCATTAGTTCAGTTTGAGATGTATTTGAATGTACATTCTGAATGACATATGGAGGGGCTTGCGAGCTGGTCACAATAAAAAGTTGTGCTTGTTTGCAACAGGGTTGTATGGCATTCAGAATTGATTGTTTAAAAGTTCTATCCATCGGTCTGTCTGTTTGTCAAAACTAAAATATATTTAAATCTATACTGAACTAACTTTACTGAGGATAGACAGAGAATGCATAGGCTTACATGTTACTTAATAATCCATAATCGTCAAAAAAAAAAAAACCTCATTGGTAACATTTCCTTTCATTCATTTGAAAAATCAGCATTTAAGAACCGGAGGTAGAGCAGAGCGTACAACACCTGTCTGTGCTTGCAGTCGAGCAGCGTGGGGCATGAGGGTGGCGGCACCAGGC